ATGCATGGTCATATCTAAGATAAGATAAAGGGTGTGCAGGGCTGAAGGAGTCGGGCTTATACGTACGCACAGTTAAGGGTGTAACTTCGGATGTCGGTATAGATTAAGAAAAGTTTCTCGTTATATACGGTAAGCCTTATTTTTCTATCGACATTTACATTTTTCTTGAATCTTATTTCACCATTTAACGTCTTTTCCCTTTTTTCTTCATATCGCTTTACCATCTCTGGATTTCTTTGTTTACTGTGTTTTTTTTTCTGACACCAACGCCAGTGATTTGTGGTTGGATGCAGATTTTTTTTTAGAAACGGATCAAAGCTTTTTTGCAAGCAATATCGCGTTCTCCCTCTGTGTTCGATTTTCTAAAATATGTCGCTTAAAACTTTAGTGTGAATTACTGAGAGGACTATTTTACCACGTTTAGCTTCTAACCTCAACTTTAAGTGCAGTGAACCATTTGCAATAAAGACTGCAAAAGCAAATGGAATCATATCATATCATTTAACATTGCAATTATATAGTCCTAACAATGAATCACGTTTGGTTCAATTGTTTTAGCGATTCCCATATGGCCGATTATAACGGTTCATAGTAAATTGCATTGAAAGTATCAAGAGCTTGCGAGAATATTTGATTTACTATTATTAGTATTAACTCTTCTTTTACATCCGGTTCATAAGAAAACCAAAACAGGCCCAAATGGACGCATCGGAGGCAAAACGGACAGAAACAGGGCTTGTTGATTATTTTAAAATTTTGACACAAGAATTGTATTTCATATAATTACTAAAATGTAAATAAAGAAATTTGAATTAATATCTGGCCTGGAAATCGATGAGTAATAGAGCACAATTTTCAGTCTCCTGTTTCAGTTTGTAAACGGGCTTTGGCCCTATTGGATACCAGATTGACTGGACTTTAATACTTATATTAGATACAATTCGTGCATCAAAAGATAGAAATAATCTCTGATAGGCTCCGTTTCGGTGTTCTTATGAGCCCACGCGGAACACCGAAACGGAGACCGGCGAAGTCATGGCCAAAATGCTGTACTGACATGGGATTGGTGGTCTCCTTCACAACGTGGATCTGGGTCTTTGTATATATAAACTGAATGGGTGAGCGCTGGTCACACATTTTGCCCTTATATTTTTGTCAGGTATTAAGCCGCTTAAGCATATCGCTTTTACCCATTACGGTTGCTTGAGGGCGAGTCTGCAGATTCGTCTTTCAGCATGGCCCTTGAACAAGATATTGATAAGATAAGCTCACAATACGTCATGGACGTCGATGATCTTGTGGACCCTGACATACATATTGTAGAATCCCCGATCAAAATTGTTAGGGAAGGACATTGCCTCTATAGTTTCTAATTTGAATCTACATTTCTCCTTGTTTGGGGATTGGGTATCTACGGTATTGGTAGGAAACCGTCCTTTCCGTTCTGTCGTGAACCGACCGACTAGCTCGTAAGGAAAGCCAACACTGGCAGTAGCAGGTTTATCGAGAACTGCTCTTGACGTACAAGGATGTCAGGCGGAGCAATTTTCTTTTTAGGATTACAGGGGCTCCGTGGGAAACAGTGTGGGGAGAAAGGTAAACTAGGATGTCGAAAAGAAATCGATAAGGGATGAATGAGTGTTGTCCTGTTGCTCCTTCAGGCAAATCTAACAAATTCTTCAGTTCAGTCTAGCTTCACCCGGGCATTTTCTCTAGAGAGGCCTGGTTTGTGTCAACTATTTCTAGTTGAATTATATGTTTTCATTAAACTTTATGCTTATTGTTGGATTGTAAGCAAGGGATCTAGCTGCCATGGAGTAAGCATGTGGCATACCCTTTTTACCAGCCCGGCGGCTGTGTTGGAGGACCCTCTTAGAAATTGTGTGTTCACAATTCTGTAAGTAATGTAACAGGTGGCGTTGGGCTCGTCGCAATGCTTACATTCCCTGACAACCATGTCATCAATAATTTGCCAAGTGCTTGGGTATCCTAGTCTTAATCAGTGCAGTATGACCAGTACCCTTTTTTCTTTTTGGAGGAAGAGCCAGTGGTTCATAGCCTGTGGCGTCTGAGTACCGTCTGGCTGAGAGCAAGTTTGTGACATTTTCTCTCTGTGTCCGCGGGGAATGACAGGTGTTGTACCTTTAGAGTACATGGTCATGGAGTTGGGGGCATGCTCCTGCCTTTTTCAGCTAATCTGTCAGCAGGTTCATTCCTTTGGATGCCTATGTGAGTTGGGACCCAATTTATAATTATTTCCCTACCCTGATTAGGTAGATGTTGTCTTGGGGTATGCTATGCTGTAGACTGTCAATGGCTGATCAAGAGTCTGTGTGTATAACAATGTGTCCATCCCTTAAGGATGTGTGGGTCAGGGCTCAGCCTGGAGTGATGAAGCATTGTCAGTGACACTAATGGGTATTGTGGTATCCCTTCCTGCGAAGACGGTGCCTGCAGTGTGGTTTATGGGATCCATGGATTCGTCCATATAGTAGGTTCTACTACCCAGAGTAGTTAATTGTGCTATGACCCTTTGTACTAATGCTTTTAGGTTAGGTATAGAGTATTAATCTTTTCTTCTTGATAAGCTTGATCAAGTGTTTTCCCATGGCATTTTCAATAGTCTGGGTGGGGTAAGTCCATGCCCTTGGCAAGCAGTTGTTTTTTGAGCTGAAAGTGTATCAACATTGGTTGTGTGTGAACCAGGAATTGTCGGCAAACAGCTGATAGTCTTGCTGTAGGTATCTGAATACTCTTTGTTTCATGTATGAATTCCGGGTTCCTGTAAAGCCTTGGAAAAAAACTGGGCTGCGATTAGATCGATCAGGTGTCCAAGGATGGCAGGTGAGCCTCAGGGAGGTTGATGACCTTTGTCCATCTGGGGGAACCCAGAATGATCCTGGCTGCTTCGTTTTGGAGTGTCTCCTTTTAATGTTGCGCTGGAGGCAATGAGAGCGATAGAAGCATAGTGAACAACGGACTGAACAGCATGTACATAGAATGATTTTAGAAAATGTGTAGCGTATCCATAGCCAGGGTATAGACAGTCCTTAATCCCATTCCAGATGCATGCCCTGGACAGTGAGTTTCTTGTTTTTGACATTTATATATATATATATATATATAATATATATATTATATATATATATATATATATTCTCTGAGCCATAGTTTTTTATTTTGCTGCAAAACTGTTTAGACTGTTCTGCAACACTCTTCAGACACCAGATCCAAACAATGCTGGACTCTATTTAGGCAATGCTTGCCATAAGAAAAGTTTGCCAGATCGTCTGCATAAGAGATCTTACATCCCTCTGGCAGGTGAATGTTGTGTATGCTAGACTTGAGGATATTGTAAAGTGCAGGACGGAGGACCCCACCCTGTGGCGTTCCATTTTCAAGTGGCATGTGTTAAGATAAGTGACCCTGAAATCTGATATTTGCTGTTCTTTTGTTGAAATAGTCAACTATCCAGGCCAATAATCTACCTTTGATTCCCATGTGGTTTAGGGTCTCCTGAATAGCAAAAGAACTGGCTAATGCAAAAGCCTAGGAATGCAACCACAGAGGGTGTAGTGCATATTGTAATTAGAAGTGTGGCGATGCTATGGGCTGTGTTCATACCCCTGGAGAACCCGTGCGGGTGTACATGAGGGGGTCCCATTTTCCATCTGACCCGATTTAGTACCATCCTCTCGGCTGTTTTGCCCAGACAGCCGAGGAGAGAAATGGGACGGTACCTGCCTGGCTCCTTGGGTTATGGGGTAGGAATTATTATGGCTTCTTTTCCGGTTCTTTGGGTAGTGTGGCAGTTTGCCAGGACTTGTTGATGAGTTGCAAATATACAAGCTCTCCTGCAAGACCTAAGTGTGAGATTATGGGGTGGGAAATCTTATCTATCCCATGGTTTTATAGTTTTTTTTTTAGTTTCCAGAAGGAGAACATGGAATCCAAGTCGTCAGGTTCGAGTGCCTTGTATCTGAGGAGAACAAGCCATCTGATCCGATTTAGTACCATCCTCTCGGCTGTTTTGCCCAGACGGCTGGGGATAGAAATGGGACATTACCTGCCTGGCTCCTTTGGTTATGGGATAGGAACTGCTATAGCTTCTTTTCAGTTCTGGGTTAGTATGGCAGTTTGCCAGGACTTGATAAGCTGCAGAAATGCAAGCTCTCCTGCAAAACCTAAGTGTGAGATGATGGGGTGGAAGGTGCCATCCACCCATGGTTTTATGTTTTTCTTAGTTCCCTGAGGGAGAAATTGAATCCGAGTTTTCAGGTTCGAGTGCTTTGTATCTGATGAGATCAAGCTTGCCTGGATTTAGTTGTGTTTTTATTCCCTCAACTGAGGAGGCAGGATGTTGCTGCTGTTCTGGCTGAGAACACGAGCACCAGTGTGTGCCTCTGATTGTGGGGTCATGATGCATGCATCTCGGGCTTGACGGCTGGTAGCTCGCCTGACCCGTTTCCACAGCTCAGAGAGGATGGTCAGGTGGCACCATTTCAGCCACTTTTCCTGCCTGACTCTGTTGCAGTTTCCTTGGCATCCCAAACAGCTGTTGTGGGAAGTTCTTTGCCATCGAAAGTTTTTTTCTGCACATGTTAACTCTGTCACTGATCTCCATGATCACGTCATTATAGCACTAGGTGTGTTTGTGAGTTCTGGACCATGGGTGAGTTTTAGGGATGGACTGTAAGGCTGCCTGATTTATGGCCTGGACTAGTCTTGCCTCGAGCACATCCACATTTTCACTATTTGGGGGTTTATTGCTTCTCAGACAGTGAGCCAAGCCCTTCTGAAAGGCTTTTCAGCTAGTCTTGTCTTTTTTCCATTTGGGAATATGTTGTGGTCTATGAGCCGGACCAGAATCCAGAAGGGTAGTGACTGTGCCATAATCACTTGTAACGGTTTCATCAACACACCACCGAATTCTCTCCACCATTGTTGCAGTGGCAAAGGTAAGGTCCAAGATCCCTGCTTTCACATGCGTTGGTTCTCGAGTGCTTAGAAGACCGATCTCAGGGAATGTGTCAAGCACGTCTGGAATGTAAATGCCTGCCGCATTCGGCTTCCTATGATCACTCGGTCTAAGCTGTCACACAGTGGTTTGCTGTACACATTGTACAATTTGAGGGGCCCTCCTAGCTGGTGTATCTCAACAGCAAGAGATTCCAAGAATTATCCTAATGCCGAAAAAAGTGGCAATATAAAAACAAAGTCTACAGGGGCAAGTCCAACAGCAATCAAGTAGACTTGCTGCATCAACGTATGCACTAACAGTGCACTGCGTAAACACAGCGGGGTCATGCACGGTCGACACATGTGAAGGAGTCAAGTCCTCTCTTTAGTAGGCCTCTACAACGACCTCAGAACCACCAGGTCCCCCCATGGACCCCCCGCGAGCGAGACTCCAGCCTCTGTAGCAGCCGTATGGGGAAGAAAGACTCTAGCAAGATTAAGATAGGAGCTCACTACCACCACTCATTTAATTGACGTATGAGAACGTTTTGGGTTATTGTTGTGAGGTGATACAGTGTAAAGGAAGGATGTATGGAGCGGAAAGATAGGGAGTGTATGTGTGTGTGTGTGTGTGAGAGAGAGAAGAGGTGTGAACATGTAGTGTGCAAGAGTACGGTAGGCGTGTTTAAGCCGGGAGGAGACGTGTGCGGGGGAAAGATCACCCGGACGCAGATTAGTCCCGCGATGTTTGTACTTCCTGATATGAGACTAGTCTACAAGTCATTTCTTCCTTTCATCCTTGAGTCTTCTTACAAAACTGCGAGGTATTATAAACAATTTAAAATATTCTTCATTTATTAAAACGTAAAATCGTAAAGAACATTAAGAACACAGACATAGAAAAAATAAAATGAACTTGGACATAAAACGGACATCAAAAGATTAAAATGAACGAACATAAAACGAACATCAAAAGATTAAAATGAACTTGAACATAAAACACAAACGTAAAACACTAAAACAAACACGGCATAAAACACAAACGTAAAACACTAAAACAGACACATAAAATAATTATAAAACAATAAAAAGATAAAACACATAAAGGCAAGGATCCATTAAAACTGATTTAAAATAAGAGGCACCAGTCTTTCGATCACTTATGCTTGACTAAAAGATCACGAGTCTTTCCTGTTCCCTAAAGAAAATACTCTCAAGACCACTTACCTTAGAGGAGGCCCAATCCGGGTTCCTCACACAACGGCTGACTCCGACCTGGGCTCAAAGACCAATCCCCTTTTTTTCGTGCCTCTCGTGTTTCCTTTTCAACTCTTTAGCGCGGAAAAATAATTAAGGGCAGGAATCTCAAATGTTGATTAAAGATTTAAAAGCACCTTTAGAAAAATTAAAATTAGTCAAATAAAAATGTAAAAGGAACCAACAGAACTAAAATAATAAATAGTGAACTAAAAAAGATGAAATATGAAATTCCTCCTTATTCCCACTTTTCGCCAATTCTTAATATATCCTTTTGCAGTTCCTTGCGTGTATGTGTAAGGGTGTAAAAATCATTAAAAAAAAAAAAAAACTTTTAATACAAAAAACAGATAAACTAAGACAATATAAGGAGGAGTGGCCGCGTTTTCTTTCCTTGGGTGCTCGGTTTTTTTTTTACAGCGCGCAGCCTCGGGGCGAATTCACGGCATTCCCCCCCCCCCCCCCCGTCGGAAATAAAAGGTTCCCTAGCACTGTCTTTTTCGATTTTTTTCTCGGGAGAGTGATAGTGAGAGAGAGGGGGGGGGGTTAATGACTTTTTACGTCGCGGTCACGACGAAACCCGTGATTCACGACACCTCATCACAGGAGAGAGAGAGCTCCCACCCGGGGGAGGGCCGGGCGGGAGGGCTAAAGGTCCTAGGGTGAGATCACCTCCGATTTCCACTGAGCACTGCATAAGGGAAATTATACATAGCTGGGCAAAGGAGCAGCCGTCTATATGGCTGCTGTCGGGGAAGTATCAGAGCGTGTGGGAGCCGGAGTAAAGAATCAGACGTTTCCCCGCAGCCGAAGCAGTTGGCATAAGGGTGACTTTATGCGTATTGAACATGGCAGTGGCTGAGATAGCGTGGAAACTACGGTAACTGTGTGGGCGCCGGGGACTCGGCGAATAATGGCGCCGGTTACTCGGAATTTTAGTAGAGGCAGAAAAGCGAGAGAGAGAGAGAGAGAGAGAGAGAGAGAGAGAGAGAGAGAGAGAGAGAGAGAGAGAGAGAGAGAGAGAGAGATGAACAAACTCTTGTAGCCAGTCTTTTAAGCTAGGATCACACTAGTCTTTTTTACCCTGGGATCCCTAGACAGCCTCGCCGAAGTCTGACTAGCTACAGCTTTGATTTGTCAGCTGGCATGACATCGGCGAGGCGGTCTAGGGATTCAAGGACACAGAAAACTTGAGTGATCATGGCTTTATCTGATTTTAGATTAGATAGTGCCGCTTTAAGCATTCGTTTTAAAATATATATTTTAGTTGTGAATATAATCTAGACACACAATGGATTCTACATTATGCTATCTATTCATTTACGATTCTATATATTTTTTGTTGTTACTACTAATCTTATCCTTAAGGTTAACACAGCCTAACCTTCAATAGCGCCACTTCCTCCAGATATCGAACTGCAAGGGGCGAATTGTGAGCTGCAAGGGACGAATAAGGAATCTATAACACTGAATACTTTTTACAACCAAAACCAACATGGTAAGTGCTTTTCATAATTAAGAATAAATTATAACTCTTAAATAAATTTGAGTGTTCACCTTATTCATTTTTGTATGGAAACAGCTAATTGATACGTTTGTTTACTCAATCCTTTAAATCAGAGTGCACACCGCAACCTTTAACCACAAGGGGAAATGTGTTAAATTGCCAGTAAGACCATTAGTTGCCTTATGCTGTAGACCTCCATACTATCTGTCTGTCTGTATACGTGTCCCTCTCTCTCTCTCTCTCTAGGCCTCCATACTATCTGCCTGCCTGCATCTCTCTCTGTCTCTGTCTCTCTGTCTCTCTGTCTGTCTGTTTCTCTCTCTCTCTCTCTCTCTCTCTCTCTCTCTCTCTCTCTCTCTCTCTCTCTCTCTCTCTCTCTCTCTCTCTCTCTCTCTCTCTCTCTTTCCCTCCCTCTCGGCCACCATACAATCTGTGTCTGTATGCGCCAGTCTCTATCTCTCGCCCCCCCCCCCGCGCCTATACACACACAAACAGGTAAATAGGTAAATATATTAACCCCCTGATTTAACAAAGGTCCGTTCATTTCCAACTTACCCCAACAGGAGGACGAGCATACCATTGTCACCTATCGGCACTCCAGTACCTCACCCTCGAGGAACAGGGCAGACCACATGATGTCGGAATTAGACCTGTTCAGGGCTGTTTCACAAGAGGGAAATGACCTCCGGAGGGACATGAATATTGGCCAGGGACGACTGGAAGCCACGTTGACGCATATGAAGAATGACCTTAAAAGTCTTGTTGAAGATGTCCAAGCAAAAGTTCAGAGAAACCAAATGGAAATAAGAAGCATGGAACAAATGAAGAATGACCTTAAAAAGTTTACTGAAGATGTCCAAGCAAAAGTTCAGAGAAACCAAATGGAAATAAGAAGCATGGAACAAAAATTGGAAAAAATATCGAAGCAGAGAGCAGAAAAGGACCAAAAGATAAAGGCTCATGGGTTGGCACATATCCTTACGGTAAACATGAAATGATAATTAATGTCGATAATAATTCAGTATCAATATACGCAGCCAGGTACTTTAATATACACGCATTCATGTATATAGATTCAAAGATACAATTGTACGCTCACAGATTAATAGTATTTTAATAATTACATTCTTATTCAAACCAGGCTCAGGATCTGAGATCACCATGGGTTTGGTGGCTGGTCTACAGAGGGCTTGTTTACGCTACAAACCGACACCAGGACGGGTTCTCATACGCTAAACTATCGCTAAGCTGGAACATTAGACCCTTTCTGTCTTGCAGACAGGACGAAGAGCCGACTTCCTCTGCCTACGCTATAAAGGTGATTTTATCGTGTGCTTTCCGATGACTACAAGAGAGAAAGAGAGAGAGTGAGAGTGAGAGTAAGAAAGAGAGAAGGGGGAGAAGGAGAAAAGAAAGAGATCAGAGAGAGAGAAGGAGGGGAGGGGGAGCGAGAGAGGAGAGATAGAGATTGAGTGAATATGGACTTACGGACTTATCTTAATTCCGCAGCGCACGGACGTCACGGGGCCATATCCCAAGGTGGTGTTCCTGGACGTGGGTGGTCTGGTATTCACTACTAGGTTTCACATACGCATACGATGCAACAGCAAGCACGCTCTACATTTCGCCTCCCTGTGCACTGGCGAGCTCGGCTATAACTTCAAAGATGCTGAGGTTATCTGGACTGACGGAGTGGTATCCTTCGACGGGTTCAGTTTTACTAGGATCCCTGACAATTTTCTGAATGCTGTCGTCACAGGTAAATTGTCGATTAGCGAGGTCGTGGCAGATCCCTACACTAAGGGAATTGTCGTGGCCCACTGCGACGAAAAAGACAACCTGCGCAGTTTCTCGCTGAGAGTGAATGGCCACCGCAACACACTTAAGGGTGGTACAGACTACATTATTGGCTCTGTAAAGAAAAGGGAGAATGAATGGTTGGGGAATATTCAAAAGCATTTTTTCAGCAGCCTGAGTATAGTCGACTGTGGGACGGTGCTGAATCGCCCGATTGACAAGTCTGTAATGTATATTTTCTTCATGTGCGCTGGTATTGTCATGCTCATTTCATTATTTCTAGGACTACAGGGAAGAGCTTGATATGATTACTAAGATCCTTCTATTTGAGGGAGATTGACGACATCTCAGGCATCAGAATTACCTAGTTTCAAGGGCATTCTCTCTCACTCTCTCTCTCTCTCTCTCTTGCTCTCTCTCACTCTCTCTCTCTCTCTCTCTTGCTCTCTCTCTCTCTCTCTCTCTCTCTCTTGCTCTCTC